ATTAAGTCTAATCTATCTCTAACCTAAATTGGACCTAACTTAACTAAAATCTCAATTTCAACCTAGGTCCAAACTAACCTAAACTTAGTTCAACTCAACTCAACAAACAATACTTATTCAACTAAATTTTAAACTTGGTCTAACTTAGGCTTAGACCTAACTCAACTCAATCCTAAGCTCAACTCAAGTCTTACCTAACATACTTGGTTCAATCAAATTTCAAGCTTAAGCTTAACTCAAATCTAACCTAATCTAGACTCAGTTTAACTCAAGTGACTTCAAGCTTAACTTAAGGCTAGCCTAGTCTAGATCTAGTTCAAACTAAAGCTCAGCTCTGAATTCAATGCAGGTCTAACCTAACTTAAAACTAAGTTAATTAAGACCTATTGTAGGTGTGAACAAAATTGGATCTAACTTAAACCAACTCTAGGTCAACCCTACCTAACTTAGGTTTATCCAAATCAATTTAAACCAACCATGGGTCAACTGACCTAACTTGCGTTCACCCAAATCAACTAGAATCACTCCTGGGTCAACCCGACTTAAGTCGGGTTAACCCAAATCAACTTAAATCAAACTAGGTCAGCCCGACCTAACTTGGGTTAACCCAAATTAACTTAAACCAACTTAGCACTGGGTTAACCACACCTAAATCTGGTTAAACTAAATCAACATAAATCAACCCTAGGTCAACCTGACCTAACTCAGGTTCACCTAAATAAACTCGAATAAATCCCGGGTCAATCTGACCCAACTCGGGTGAACCCAAATCAACTTAAATCAAACTAGATCAACCTGATCTAACTCGGGAACACAAGTTAACTTAAACCAACTTTGGGCCAACCCCTCGGGTTAACCAAAATCAACCTAGGGTTAACCTGACCTAACTCAGGCTAACCTAAAACAAGGTTTTCAAGCCAATGCTCAACTCGTGCAGAAAATATCACCTTTTGATGATTTGGTAATACAAATGGGTAACCAATAATAGAGTCATGTTGTAGCCATTAAGAACATTGAACATCAATTAGGGAAGCTATTGAATGCTGCAAATAATAGACCCTTAAATATACTCCTAAGCAACACTGAGGTGAACACCAAAGAAAAAAAAGTTGAGAAAGCCTTAGTTGCGAGGAAAAGAAGTGGAAAATGTTAGAAGAAAACCCTAGGAGAGAAGACTCAGTAGACTTAGACTCTTCCCTAGGCGGTGAACCAGGGATTTAGGAGAATGGGTAGAGGACCTGCCTCACCCATTAGGGTTGACCCTGAAGAAATGCTGCCACCATCTCATCCTCAAAGATTGAAAAAACAAAAAGTGGATAAAAACTCTCTAGGTTCTTAGAAGTGTTCAAATAGTTGACCATTAACATACCTTTTGCTGAAACACTAGAAAAGTTACCTAACTATGCCAAGTTCATGAAGGATATCTTGACTAAGAAAAAAAGATTAGGGCATTTTGAGACTGTGACATTGACCGAGGAATGTAGTGCCACCTTGTAAAATAAGTTACCTTAAAAGATGAAGGACATAAGGAGCCTTACTATTCCATGTTCCTTAGGAGAAAAGTTTGTAGAAAGAGTCCTTTGTGACTTAGGAGCAAGTATCAACTTGATGTCATTATCCATATTCAGGAGACTTGAGCTAGGAAAAGCCCAGACAACCAATTTGACCTTACAGTTAGCAAACCAATCCTTAGCCTACTCTTTGAGAATCATTGAGGACGAGTTCATGAAGGTGGAAACAATTATATTCCCTGCCAATTTTGTGGTACTCGACATGAAGAAGATAAGAAGATACCCTTGATAATTGGTCGACCCTTTCTAGCTATTGGTAGGGCCATGATTGATGTAAATGAGGGGAAAATGACTATGAGAGTGAATGATAAACAAGCTATCTTTGATATCATGAAGTTAATGAGCTTTTCCCATGATTTTAGTGAGGACCATTATCATAGGAAATACATGGAGGACCATGTAGTTGATGAAAAATTTGTGGATAAGTTCGAAGAAAATCCAAGTAGAGCAAGAAGAGATTGAGGATGACGACTAGAAACATGGGGGGGTCTATTCTACAATCAGAAGAGAACCTTAGGACATTTAGGGAAATATTTGAACTCTTAGACACCACGACCAATGCCAAGCCCCTTGTGCCATCCATTGAGACAACCTCTAAGCTGTAACTAAAAACCTTTCTCACAAATAACATGGTTTGATTCACTTTGGAATATTTTTATAAAATTTATGTTATGAGGATTATTCTATAAGATATCTTTATATCTATCCTTTTTGTTAGCCTTCTTAATAATCGTCTAACTTTGTCATTCCTTCCTCCCTCTTCATTTAGATGGAGGCTGTTTTGAGAAAGCAATTTGAGGAGGTGAATATATTAAGGTCATTACATGTTTCATATACACAAATAACAAAAAAAGGGTTGAACAAGGTGATTAATAGATTTTCCTTATTGACTTTATTAGTGCACTTCAAAATTTTTCTTAAAATTTTTTTAGATCAACCAAGATGAATGCCTAAAATTTTCATGACTATGAGATTCAACCATACAATTTGATACCTTTTTATTGCCTTCAACTACCCTTTGATCGTGAAAGTTTTAACTACCTCAAGAAGAAACTTAGCAATCATATGCAAATATATTTCTATGATTTTTAGCTCCATTTTTTTATTTTATTATAAAATTTTCTTCATGTTGGGAACACTTATCTTGTATTTACTCTTAATATCGTTACTTTTATTGGAAGAGCTTTCATTATAAAAAGAAGAATTTGATAGATTCAATCCAAGACTTAAATATGTGCTATATCTCCTCTTCTACTAATGGGAGATGGAGAATTTTCTTCTTCTTCCATTTCAATAAAACAAAGACAAATATGAACTTATAGAATCTGAAAACTTATTATTTATATATATTGGTAAGAAAAAAATACCATGTTTTAAACTTATTTGATTGAAAAAAAAAAATGAAAAAACTCAGTCAATGTCACCTATAGAGTTCTTATAATTTCACCTAAAGAATGTACGATACAATGAACATATAAGTGTGTGAAAGTGTCGGCACTATTTTTGGTGTGGGGTTTGCTGATACAATGAACATATAAGTGTGTGAAAGTTAATTAAATATGTATTACTTGCATTAGAAAAGTTAGAAACATAATGCCCTTTATTTAATTAAACAGTATATTGATATAAGGGTTCTTATACTAGAATAAGGAAGATAATAATAAAGAAAGGCACAAAAAATAAAAATAACCTTAATAATGAGTTTATATTATAATAATAATGACTATAATTCCTAAAACAAATATTAGATACATGTTCTAATATATTATAAGACAATGATGGCAACAATTCCGATAACTATAATAATGCGAATAAAAATTAAAAGACTATTTAAATACTTAAATTATTTAATATTGAGAATATATGAAACATAATAAATTTCTTTTGAATGGAAATCAAGTCATGAATATCTAACCAAATTTTTTTTGTTCAATTTGTAAAGTAGAAAGATGGCATTTATGACTTTATTCTTGGTAGGTCTGATATTTGCCATCCTAATATGAAACACATACAAAATATTTTGTGATACTGAGTAATAATAAGTTGAGAGATTTACTTATAAGTTACCAAAATCTTTCTTAATTACAAAATTAACACTCAAGTTGTAAAATGAATGATAAAATTTATGTACTTTATGCTACAATAAAATCATTTATTATTTAAAGAAGGCAAAGAATGCAAATTTGATTTTTATTGTGATATGTAAGATTTGAATGATATTATTATAACAAAAAACTATAGTATTAATTTGCATTGAAATGGTTGCAAATAAAAACCCCAATATAAAAATGAAATGGATTCACTAAACAAAGTTTGCTTCTCACCATATAATCATGATGAATTAGGTTGATCTTCATGAATGAAGTGATTCAGAATTGACCAAATTTTTATAAGTTATTTTACCATAAAAGCCTTTAGATTTTAGCTTTTTAGCTTAAAAATATAAATATTAGATTATTTTTAAAAATGTCCCACTATTACATATTCCTTCCAAATTAAGCTTTTATTGTATTGGGCTTGGGTTAAGCTATGTTCTCCAAAAAAAACTCTTTGCTTAAGAAGACTAGATAGAAATGAATGAGAGACTCTACTGATAATTTAGCTATGTTTTGGGCGAGGTTTCTAGAAAGGTCTTATAGAAAGTAATTATAGAAGATATGTGGCTTACATTAGAGTATTTATAGAGCCAAAAGAATCTCTAATAAAGCTAATGAATTGTATAGACTTTATTTTCTTTTCATGCTGGAAGATTTATTGATTAAATCATATTTGCATAAGTTTAATTCAATCACTTAAGGCTTAAGATATATTGATGTGATTGCTAATGATGAGACCCAAGCATTAATATTATTGTGCTATTTATTATCTTTTATAAGCATTATCAAGATAGTATGTTTTGTACCTATGATACTAAAAAGCTTAAAGAATATAAAACAAATCTTTTTTTTTATTTCAAAAATGATGATTTTTAATTAAAGGATGTGATGACCAATTGAAGCCGTTACAAATTGTAGCCAAATTTCCCACCATTGATTTCATTAGAATAGTGAAATTGACCTTTTATATATAGAGGAATGTTGTTGCCCTCAATCTTATAATTGTTTTTATTATTATACAATTTCCTAATATTGAAGACAATGCAAAACTCAAATGTGTAAAACAATTTACATATCTCGGGTCTATCGTTCAAAGCGAAGAGTAAAATTCAATTTGGATGGTTGAAGTGGAGAAATGCATTGAGTTTATTGTTGGCTTGTAAAAGAGAAGCATACAATAAATAAAATAAAAATAAAAAAAAAATACATAGTGCATAAGATCTAGAATAAGAACTTAAGTGCAAAATTTAGAGAAAATATAAATTTGAAAATGACAATGCATGATAATTTTGTCACTCCATAACATTCTATCAGCAATTTGAAAAGGTTGAGGTCATCTGCCAGCTCTTATTATCTTCAGCTTTTTTATGCTAGATAAGAAAAGCCTGCAATGAAATTAATAAAATTAATTCGAAATAAATAGGAAATAAATTAAAACAAATTGAAAAAAATAATTTATTTTGAAAAAAAAAATTAATAAAAATAAAGGAAGCTTACTTCCATGGAACATCTCCAACCGTCGTCCAATCTCCCTCTGTATCTTCATAAATGAGTATATTTGATGTCGGTGAAGAGATTCGGCTCTTATAAGGATCTATATTTTTTCAAAATAATAAATAAATAAATAAATAAATAAATTAGAGGAATGCTTGTACATACATACCACCCAATTTCTATGTAATTACATATCTTACATTTATGCTTTACTTTTTTATATTTATACCACTATTTTTGTTGAAATATAAACTTGATTTTAGTTCTTTAAATAAAGCCCAATAAGTGCCTAATTCTAGAATATGTGGTGGGTATGAAATTATTGTGTCGTAGGTGTGGTAAGTGTGGTAGGTGTGAAATTATTTATAACTATTAGATTAAAATTGTAGTGACACAATCCTAGCCATTAATTTGGAGGTGTCACTAGTATAAATAAGGGGTGAAGTCTATGAGTTTGTATCAAGCCAAGTAAATGTGATAAATAGAAGTGAAACTTCTTCCATAAATTTTTAACCTTTGTCAAATCCTAAAAGCTTATCCATTCTAACAATTTTAACTTATAAAAAGTGAAGTATATCTAGTCATCTGTAGATAAGCTGACAAATATGTAAAAAAAACGTCAAGTTTTTGTGTTAGATACCTAAAAACATAGAAATTTAGTGGCGTGTATATGTAAATCTTTCTTAAATTTATAGCCTAGATTTGTGAATTTTTAATCCATTCCAACAACTTTAACTTATAAAAAGTGAAGTATATCTATTCACCTATCGTTAAGCTGACAAATATGTAAAAAAAAGTTAATTTTCGTGTTAGATACCTAAAAACATAGAAATTTTGTGGCGTGTATATGTAAATATTTCTTAAATTTATAGCCTAGATTTGTGAATTTTTAACTTACTTATTTTTATATAATTATGTGTGTAATACTTAATATACTTACATATGATGGTGGTGTTGAACATTTGTTCAATTGTTGTTAATAGACTCTGATATCCATCTTGAGTTAATAAATCTAAATTCCTTCCAAATGAAGTTCCATCCATATAAACCTTCACAAATAAGCTTTGGGCATTTTGTCTTGGCTTTTTGCTCCTATTAAAGCGAAGAACAAAAATCAGTGAAGCAAAGAAATTAATATCTAAATATTCTAATTTGTATGTTAGACAAATATATAAAATTAATAGATTTTTAAATAAATGCAGCAATTGTGAAATAAATAAATAAATAAATAAATGAATAAATAAATGAATAAATGGTGATTTATTTTAACAAATTTGATTTAATGAGATTATTATTTAATTCACAACCTCATTAAAATATGTGAAAGAAACAATGGATGAAGAAGAGTTTATGAAATTATAATTTTATTATATTTTAAATTTGGAAAATATAAATACACCAATCACCTTGTTTAAAATAATGAAATTAGTTAAACATTGTAAACATGAAGAATGTAATATAGTACTTGTGCATTTGCCCAACTTGTACTTGATAATAGTGAATGATTCTAGTCTTGAGCTTGATTAACTTATTGAGTTTGAGCTCGAGTTTGAACTTAACTCTACGAGCACGAGCCGATCAGGAGCCAAGTTGTTTATTGAAAAATAACATAATAATAATATTAATTCAAGCTAATGTTATGCTAAAATGAAAACTAGAATAATAATTATGAGACAAATTGTAAGAAATCATTTTATATAAAATATTAAATATAAGATATATATTTTTACTTATTTTTAAGAGTATAGAGATAAAATCTTGAAATTTAATATGTTTTTATTGTGTTTTATATTAATATATATATTTTTAAGACGAGCCCGCTCATAAGTAAACGAGTTGAGTCAAGCTTGGCTTGAATTTGACTTGTTAGCTTATGAAGCTTAGCTTCAAGCTGATCCTGAACCGGCTGACCAGTTTGTCCGGTTCATTTACAACCATACCTGGCAAATCACGCACATATTTATGATATCAACTTTCATCAATGAATTTGCAGCTAAGAATAACATTAAAAATTACAGAAAAATATAAAATGTTGCAAATAATTCATATCATGCCTGTCATTGCAAGAGCTTCCCTCAAATGAAGAATCAGATAGATTCAACTTCATATGCAGCTCTGTGTTTAAAGGCCTGCTTCTTTTTCCCTTGGAAGATGAAGCCGAAATAGTAGCTTGGTTGCTTTGTGTGGAAGCAGTAGAATCTTCTTCTCCTTCTTCCATATCAATAAACAGAGACAGATATGAACTTATAGAAGCTGAAATCTTGAGGTTTTTTTTTTTTATTAAATGAATAAATAGTTAAAATAAGAGTGCTTATATATAGGAAATAGGAGAAAATAATAAAGGAAAGCACGCAAATAAAAATACTCTTAATAATGATGGTATATTACAATAATAATACAAATGAAATTTTACTATAGATATTAAGCTAATGTTCTAATATTTATATGACAATGAATCGTTGTAATAACTCTGATGATTTGAATAAAAATTATAAGACTCGGTATGTTGGAAGGTTTATGGAGGTAGAACAATGAATGATCATCTTAGTGTTGCACTAAAACACATCACACGCTCGAAAAATTAAAGAGAAGTATGGATAGGAGGAGAAAACTTGATTTTTACGTGAAAAATCCTGAAAAAGGGTGTATAAACCATGGGGCCTAACCTAGTTAAAATAATCCACTTTCATTGGTTAGTACACCGGTTCACTCTTCTTCGGAATTAAAAAAGTTGGAGTTACAAATATGATCGTTATAAATGTACAACAACAATTCATTGATAATATACTTAGTTTGGATGTCGTTCTCGGTGATAGCAAGCTGCAAGGGCCGTTATCGACTACTATGAAAGTAGTAGTTAATCATGAAAGTTGTGGGTGGTGGGTGTAATGGCGACTTGCCGTATGGGCTGCAGTTGAAAGACATGGTAGTGGTTGGTCATGTGAGTCTTAGACAGTTGCTTTAGGAACGTTGGTTGGCCATAAAGTTCTTAGTAGGAAGCTGCAAGAGCCGTGAGTCACGTAAGCCTAAGCTGGTTACATATGCTGTAGTGGTGAACTGGGATAAGGTTCATAGGCCGCAGGTGCCGGAGTCCGGATCTGTATGAGCTGTGAGCCATGTATGACGTAATTGTGAGCTATGATGATGTTCGTAGGATGCAAGGATCGGAGTCAGGAGATGCCAACCACGTAGGCTATAATGATGAATTATAATGATGTCTATAGGCTGCAGAGGCCAGATTCAGGAGTTGTAAGCCATGTAGGTCATGGTTGGTTATGTTGGTCAAAGTCGTGACCTATAAATATGTATGTAGGGCATCATGACCAAAGTTGGGAACTCCGTGAGCTATGGACCACGTAGGCCGTAGTTGGTCACGTAGACTGTAATGGTGGTTTGTAAGGAAAGAGTATTGGCAGTCTGGTGAAAGTCACCATCTTTGTGGTTACACTGTCTTGGATAAGTGTCATTGCACTTTATGTGGGGTGCATTGGTATACTGTAATCGCGGTGTGTCATTGCACTGTATTCTGGGTGAATTGTTACACCATCTTCTAGAGGTGTTATTGCACCTTATGTGAGATGTACTGTTATATCATCATCTGGGAGTGTTTTTGCGCCGTATTTAGGATGCATTGTTACACCTTCTTTAGGAGGCTTCAATGCACCGTATGTGGGGTGCATAGTTACACTATAATCGGAGTGTGTTGTTGCACCATATTCAGAATACAGAGCAACACCATCTTCAGGATGCGTCATTACAACATATATAGTGTATGTTGTTATATCGTTGTCGTGGTGTGTCATTTTACCATATTAGATGTGCATTGTTACATTGTTTTCAAAAGACTTTGTTGCACCATATGTGGGGTGCATTGTTACACCGTCATCGGGGTGCGTCATTGCACCATGTTCGGGATGAATTGTTATGTCGTCTTTAGAAGGCGTCGTTCCTTCATACGGGAGTACATTGTTCTGCATGATGCATGCCTCATTACTCTGCAATGTATGCCAGGGTTCTGCAGTGCACATCATGTTTCTGCTAGGAGTTTTGTTGCAACGATTCATGGGTAGTTGACAGTGGTCAATGGTGCCCGAGGGCCGGTGGTCAACATTGGTCGGCGACTGCAGGAGAGGGAGGTATTTGCCAGATTTGCGATGTCAAAGCGATGCTAGACTTTAACTCCTCCGAAATTCACTCTTCTTCTAGTCCACGGTTTTCCCTCTCTCAAGAGGACGTTGGATCCTATTTATATAGTATGAGAGATGCCTCTCCTCAAATAAAAAAAGAATTCAGCCACTATGTCGGATGACCTGGAGAGATTCCTTTAGTTGGATGACATTTAGAGAACATTTGAGTGCCTTAATGATATCCTAATTGAGCAGTCCCAGGCTGATTAGATTCGCCTCGCAGATACACTCCATTTGACAATAAGCTTGTCAAATTTGGAATTTGTTTGACATTCCAATTATGCACTAAAAACATCTAGAATTATTTTAACAGTTTGATTTGGGCCGCATTTGACTTTGATTGGACCAATTTTGGTATCATTGGGTCTGTCTTGTCGAGCCGGTCAGTTTGACTGTATATATATTAAAATCAAAGTTCTAGATGATTTATAATCAATGTTTGAACTTTTCATGCCAAAATTATTTTAAGATTCATGTTATATCTTGACATTTTATGACGGATGATGAAAATTTATTGATTGCATATTAAGACAACAACAACAATAACAATAACAATAACAACAACAAAACCTTTATCACACTAAGTGAGGTCGACTACATGAATTGTTTTCTCCATTGCATCTAATTTAGTGTCATACTTTCATTTAAATCTAATAAATTAAGATCATTTTTTATACAATAAGCCCAAGTCTTCCAAGGTCCATCTCTGCTAATCTTAACATAAGTCAATACTAAAACATTTGCTCTTCTAATCAAATCATAAGATGTCGACGTTTAATGTGACCAAACCATTTAAGACCACTCTATCTAATTTTGTCTGTCACTGGAGCTACACTAACCCTACCACAGATATATTCATTTCACATTTTATCTTCAGGTCTAAAGCCACTCGTCCTCCTAATCATTCTCATCTGGACAACACTTAATTTAGTTTTATGCTTCCCTTTTAATGGCCAACAATCACCAACATAGAGCATTGAAATTCTCACTACCAACTTATAAAAATTTCCTTTCAGTCTAAGTAGTAATTTTCCATCGCACAATAGGTCTAAAGCATTCCTCCACTTCAACCAACCGAGTTGAATTCTACTAATAACATCCCCATCAATTTTGCCATCACTGTGAATAATAGACCCGAGATATCTACAACGTTCACACCTTCTAATAATTTGATCACCCTTAGTTACATTTCTATCACTAGAGCCACTACTATTAAAATTAAATTATTTAAATTACATTCCATATATTCAATTTTAATTCTACTCAAACAAAGGCCTTTAGACTCCAAGGTAGACTTCCATAATTTAGGTTTTTCCTGAGGTGTTTCTCTCGTTTTATCCACAAGAAGGATATCATCAGCAAAAAGCATACACAAAGAAGGATATTACCAGCAAAAAGCATACATCAACAAAAAGCATACACCAAGGATAACATCATGATTAAAGGGTAATCATGATGTTAACCACTTAAGACCCCCATTAGGCTAGGCCCATAAGATTGATTTAGTGTTTTAAATAGATATGATGGGAATTTGGGCCATGATGTAAAATTTTGTTTCTACATTCTTACACTTAGCTTCCTAATTTTCATTTGAGGGATTTTAATGGCAAAAGTTGTCATTTTAGGGTTTTAGTTCACTGTCCTAAATTTTCTTGTTATTTTCATTACAATTTGCATTTTTCTTATTATATTTCAATTTTTATAATTATTTTTAAAAATAATTATATTTTTGGTAAAAAAAATTGTCATTTCAATGTTAGGGAGGTCCCCTAATCTTATGAAATTCTTGAAATGTTCACAAAGGCAGAGGGAAATATTCCTCAAAATTTCAAAATTTTCTCCCTTATATTTAATTTTTTTATACGTAAAACACTCTCTGGAGTATTTAATTAACTAAAAATTAAATATAAATTAATAATTTTCAATTTTGTTTTCATTATGTTGTCCCCTGTTCCCTGAGTATAGAGGTATTTATATTTTATTTTTGTTATTTTTCTACATTAAGTTATGTATTTTAAAGTTTTTAGGCATTTTCAAGATTTAATTAATTAAAAAAAACCTGAATTTCCCACTTAACCCAGTCAACGCCGCATCATCCTCGACGTCGTCGAAAGCCCACTTGTCCTCCACTGATTGGTCACGCTTTCCATGTAGATGTCGCACTATCCCATGGTTCGGTACTCCTCCCCTCTGTCGTTTCGTGGTCTGGCTCGATCTCCATTGTTTGTTTCTAATATACAGAAATGGATGACATCGGTTCATCATCCCCATGAGATAAAGAACCGAGAATTGTTCATGTTCAAATCTTAATATCTCACTTGATTCTCAACCAAATCGCTCGAGGTTTGTTCCAACACCTTCATTTTATCAAGGTAAAGCTATCTATGTAGCTAAGTGAAGGTGCATTATAAAAATTTTTCACAAAAGGACAAACCATGGGCCATTTTCATAAAATTAAACCCAAACCTTATCTCAAGAAGTGAGGCCTCAATTAGGCTTGACAGAAATGGTCACCTTGAGATTGTGTAGCTCTCCTTTACTTCAATTTAGACTGAATTTTGCTCTAACTATGAGCTAGACCAAATTGTGCCATAGTTTTGTGTTGGAATAGGTTAAAGGCCATAGGAAAGCTTAATTTTGATTAGGAAGGATGTTTTGAGGTCTTGCAAAGCTTTTGGGAAGGTTGGTTTTGGGTTTTGAGAAGGTTAACGTCGGGGTCGAAAATGTTCCTGCATTTCATTGATGAAAGTAAGGTTTGTTGGTGGAGGGAATGACTTGAGGATTGTGTGGATCAATTGTCTTGGTTAGTGGGGAGGTTTTCTCTTTTTAGGGAGAAGATTTGGGAGGCTACCTAAGGAGCTTTGAGGTGTCCCATACCTCTCGGGTTAGGGCTATTTATAGCCATGAGAGCTCATGAGATGAGCTTGGCCGGCATAAAGAAGCTCAGACAGCTCCTCAAAGCATGTGGAGAGAATTTTCAAATGCTTTTGTCAGGGAAACCAATGCTTTCTCAAATTTCCATGTATTGGCCATGACAGTGCCAATGGTAGTAAAGGTTGCTTGGAGGAGAGTTTGGCTGATTGGGGAGACCTTTTAATGGGTGGTTAAGACCAGATTTGGTGTAGTCTTGACTCACCAAGGGCTGGTCAAAGAGGCCCTTGACCTTGGTGCCAAGTGTGAAGTGGAATTACTAAGTGAGTCAAATTTGTCTTTTAGTTCTTGGGTTTTATTCAAAAATAATTTAATGTAACCATGTGCCATGATGGGTTGGGTTTATGTCATGAGTGAACTATGAAGGATGGGCTATAGGCTTGATGAGCCATGAGAAAGATGGGCCATGTGCTTTGGATTTTGAATTATGGCTAACCCATTGTGCTTGAGCTTAACCCAAAGGCTTAAGCCTAATATGCCTCTCATAATTTACCTAATTATGCAGTCAGGTGAATTATGGGGGTTGTCCCCATGATGCCAATTTTGTCCACCAAGTGGTTTGAAGTTTTGACCACTTTGGGTGGGGTTCAATTGTATGGAAATGGGGCCAATCAGTAAATAATTGATCAAAATTGGGTTAGAACCAATTTGATTTGACCACCTATAGTGCCATTATATCTTAGGGTCAAAGTGGTGTGTTGGAATTTCAAATTTTTTAGGGATAACTGGGTGTAGGTAGACCCCTCTCCCGTTGACCATTTTAGAATCATAGTGGTTCCTAGCTTATGGAAGGGTACCTAGAATTTTGGAATTCCAAGTGACCCAGAGCATGTCTTACCAAAAAGCGGTCAGCTTAGGTCTCTCATCAAGCCAAAAACCTAAATCAACCCAATTAGGGTTTGGGGGTTTGAGCTTGTCCTGATATGACCCATAGGAACATAACCCTGATCTAGGGATTATGAGCAGGTGAGTCGGTGAACCCTCACAAAATTGAGTTCAACAATACCATGCACATTGATGTGAGGTACCACTTTGTTTGAGACTTGATTGATGACAAAAATGTTAAAAGATAGGTACAAAGGAAAATCTAACGAACGTGCTCAAAATGGGACATACCATTTCATAAATTCAAATGATGTAGGAGTTTGGTAAACATCCGTGTTCATGATTGATTGTCCATTCAAACATTTTGAAGAACAACTTGAGGCTTAATCTCTTACATAAGCAACCATCTTATTGCATTTATTTTTGCATTGGAGCTCATGTTGGCCCTGTCCCCATATCTGGAGTAAGAGATGAGGTGAGATTGTTATGCAAAGTGTTAAATCTAGTTGTTGTATATTATGAAGTGTAAATATTTGAAATATTGATATTAGATTATCGAATTAGATGGGAACTAACTACAAGATTTCTTTTACATAGAGAAGCTTGCTATTAGGTAAAATAATTTTAGAAGATCTTATTAAAAGATTTATTCTATATTAAAATAGTTACCAATTTGTATGCTCTAATCATCTCTTATTTATAGAATTGTGTATGGATTTATAACCCTATTTTAGCTATTTTTTCGTCTCTTCCCATCATCGCGGACATAGGTGGATTTTGTGTAGAACCACGTAAATTACACAATGATAGATTGTTTGCTTATTATGTGATTTATTTTCCCATTATTTTGCACAACATAAAGATCATACTTTATTATTAAATTCCTTCAATTTTCTTATAAACTGTAAGCTCTCGTGGGATATAATGTTATAACAAAAAATGTTACAAGTAATTAAAACCTTGTCATGCCTCTTCCATCGCTATTCATATATATATATATATAGTATATTCATGTCAGTTGTAAGGCCCTTATGGTCTGGGGTTCGATTCCCCCCATGTGTAAATTGTTGTACTCGAATTTTTTGAGCTTGAGGGATGACCAGAACTCATATAATAGCCTCCGACCATTCTCTCTCTCTCTCTCTCTCTCTCTCTCTCTCTCTCTCTCTCTCTCTCTCTCTCTCTCTCTCTCTCTCTCTCTCTCTCTCTCTCTCTCACACACACACACACACACACACACAATGTAAGAGAAATATGCATAATTGAAAAATATACGTGCTTGAGAAATATGCTTGGATAGGAATTTGAAGCCTTCGTATGCTTTTGCTTTGAATATTTCCTTGGAGAAGGCAATATTCTATTGGTACAATCGCGGGGTTTTGGCTCATCTTCATGTAATTTGGCTGCTGGAACCAAACCCACACTGTCAAGAAAACATCAAACATCTTCAATTGTTGGCCCCGATGGAAGGGTACTCCTAGCACTAGCCAAAAGTTCTCCTCCTTGACGTGCTAGGACTATTGATCAACATAGCTATACTGTTGACATGGCTAGCGTCCTTCTAGTTATCTCCATCATTTGCTCTTTAAGTTCATTGATATATTGGGTAACGAATTCTCATCGCTCAATCCATGTTAATCATGATCTCTCAACGGCTTTATTTCTCTCTTTTTGTGACTCCTATTTATATTTGTGGCACAATTTATGCCGACCACGAATTTTCAGTGTGTTGAATTCAATTTTGTTTGTGAATCACAACCAAAGAGCAAAGTGTGTGGAAGAAGAGAGCGTGGGAGAGAGATATATAATATCTAGTTATCTTCTTAGTCACATCATCATTAAAGTCAAGACCTTCCGATATAAAGGTGAGTTATTATGGGAATGAACAGGGTTCCAACACATTTAAAGATTTGATCTAGAATTGTGGAATCTAGTTAGGTCTGGGATCAATTACATTAATCCATCCATTTCTATAGAGGGCAGTTTCTGAATAAAATTAAGTATCATTCATCATAATGAAATATCTAGTTATCTTCTTAGTCACATCATCATTAAAGTCAAGACCTTCCTAAAGATCTCCTCCTTAAAGTTGAATGGCTATTTGGCGGATGACTTGAGAACTCTGCACTTGATATTCACACCCTCTATATTATCATTTTGTCGTTCACACTCGAACCCTTAGTTTCAGCCATTAACACTTGAACATCAGTACTCAGTCAATATTCGCCCGAGTTTGGTGAGACTGGCTTGGTCACCTTCATCATCCTTGTTTAGGCTCGCTCCCTTAGCAGCCTTAGATTGTAGGAAAATTCCATTTAAGTCATTTCCCGCTCTTGCTAGTCTATGAAGCTGTTTTTGGTTTTACTATATATATATATATATA